TGTTTCACCTCATTTGAATAACTCTGTACTTTGCCTCATTTGAATAACCCTGTATAGCGCCTCATATACATTGACCAATGGGAATAGCTCTGTACAATGCCTCATTAGAATTATCCAATAGAATCCCTGCTCCTAGCTTGCGCCTTTTTCCCTATATAAGGACCCCTTTCCCTTGGCTCGGCGCGCTTAGCCACACAGAAGCTAAGTCGCCCCGGGTACCCGCGTCTCCAATAAAGCCTCTTGTTTTTGCATCCAAGTTCGTGGCCTCGCTGATTCCTGGGTGTGGGTCTCCCTCTACGAAAGTACCTCTTCGGGGGTCTTTCAGTTACAGAGTCCTATGATTTCATGCCCTGCTGGTTTGCCATCCCCTCACTTGCCAAATGCCTACATCCATTGATGAGGAGCCTGTGGCCTCTAGTTATCTATTGGTCTTGTGTCCTAGACATCACTGACTTCAGCCACTTACTACTCCTTTCACCATGCAGTCTGATCCAAGCACAGCCCATTCCCGAACTCATGTCAAAGGAATGCTCTCTTCCGGAAGGAATTGTATTCTCAGTGTGGTCATAGATTCATCTGGAAGGTAGGCCATTCATAAGGGTCATACATGAATTCTCCTGAGCCTACAGCCCAGGAGGACAAGGAGGAGGAAGTCAGGCAGGCCTGAGGCAAATTAGGGCTCCAGCCAAAAGTGAAAGAAAATCTTGGCTGTAAAAAAAAAAAAAAGCCAGCTGGTAATTTGGGGGGCCTGGGTCCATGCAGTTCTGTTTTCTAAACATTTCTCTCCTGGTGAAAGCAACACAGGGCTCGCCTGGCTTTCCGCTGCCCTAGAGCAATGGCTTCAGATCACAGTAATTGTTCTGCTTTAAGCTAACAGGTTGTGTGGAAGCTTGAGTAATCGAGTTAAGGCCAATTTATTACAAAACAGAGTATCTGGAGCCACAAAGTCTAAATCTCGACTCTGGGTTCCTGCTTGAAGCTTGTGTTCACCTAGACATCCGGTCCAGTCTTTTGATTTGCTAAACAAGGAAGCACTGTGACAAAGGACTCCTAGAGAAAAGATCTCAGTAATTGTTACTTACCTGTGGGCTGTGAATAGAGTTTGAACAATGAGGGGAATGTCATAGATTTTATAATTACCTCTGTTATGAACCACCCTTCATCGGCCACCAAAGTCAAAGGAGAGACAAATTTCCCTTTCTTGTAATGGAACCTGCTGGGTATCGCTTCTTTCTCATACACAGTCATGTGTTCCACTGTGCTGAGTTTGTGATATATCTGCAAAGAAAGCCAAAAATGAGCTGTTTGAACACTCATGTTAGATCTGTGAGATAGGAGATTGCACACATACATGGAGGGTAGGGGGAGGGAGAGAGACAGAGTTTAGCTACATTAAAATAAGACACTTCTTTTTTGTTTTTGTTTTATTTTGAGATAGGCTTACTATGTAGCTCTAACTGGCTTGGAACTCACGATGTAGATCAGGCTGGCCTTGAACTCACAGAGCTCAGCCTGTCTCTGCCACCCCAGTGCTGGGATTAAAGGTGTGTGCAATGAGAGACTTTTGTATAGCTTGTAAATCAAGCTGGCTTTACCTAGGCTAAAGATCCATATGCTCTCTGACATAAGAGATGGACCCCTAGGAACATGATGAAAAGCTCTGTGTGTGCACCTTTAGATGTATTCAGAGAGTAGCCTGGACACATAGCAGAAGAGGCAGAGCAAAGAGATAATGGGGTGGAGATAAAGAAATCCTGTTGCAGTTCTGGGGCAAGACACTGTAAAGCATAGTAAAGACAGACACATCACATCTGCAAAGACATGTAGAAGACTCAAGGATCTCAAACAGAGCAAATTTAATGTAAATGGTAGAAAACACCACAGAGATTCATATCATATAAAACTCAAGTAACCACACAACCATATGATAAATGGCTACTTTTTAGTGGTTTTTCTGAGAGGGTAGAAAGCTCATGGGTCTGGAAAGGACTTTCAGAAAATGTCATAGGTCATGCCAACATTCTGCTTCTATCAAATTTGAGGTGACCACTGCAACATTATTCTATACTGCTTACACAGTAAAAGATAACGTATTTTATTTTATTGTGTATATTTATATATTCTTTTGTAAATATTCAGTGGCTGGTGAATACATTACTAAACTTATTTGTCAAAATTCTATGCACTAAAATTGAGTAGCAATTGTGAAAGTGGCCTGGCTGACATTAACTATCACCAAAATCAGAGAAAACGTATGTGCTCTTTAACTTGACACTGAGATTATGTCCTACCCATACATGATTCTTAAAAGGACTAGAAATTGTTTTTTTCTCTTTTTTGTTAATTTATTTTTATATTCCAATAGTAATTGTTTATTAACCATATTGCCAATTCCATAATGAAGATGTAAAGTCTATATACACTTCCAATGTTTAGCAGAAGCTCACATATTTGTGGCTAAAATTAAAATCAACCTGCTGATGCTAGTTTGCTGGCTGTTAGCCAAATCACATATGTTTTCCTTAGTCATAAAAATAGTCTTTGGGCTGCTGAATAGAAAGGTGTTCATAGCTCCATGAATTAATCTCCACTATTTGATTAAAAATGATGTATGCAGAATGCAGAATTATTTTGAATAAGTGAAAAATCTTCTGACATACATCAGGTCTTGCAGACTGCTGCATCCATCACATGACACAACTGTCACCAAACATGGCCCCCACTTTTGAACCATTACCAACTGCTATTGGCTGCTGGCAAGGCTTGGGATGCGCATCCTGCTGGAAGATGCTCTTCCCAGCTCCTGAGTGTTGATGCCCAAGCATTCTGGAGGTGTCACATGCCTAAGTGCCAAATTGGAGACAAAGATGATCTTCCTTGCCAGGAAGACAGAGTTGCTTCCCAAGAACCTGCCAACGTCTAACATATTCTTTCCGTTTTCATATTTAGGGAGTTGCTGGGACGCTGTGTAAACTTCATTTCCTAGCTATGGAGCTCAAGAAAACAAAAAGGGTACATTCCCTGGTGAATGTGGAAAGACTGACAGCAGTGGTATTGTTGACAAGAGACCTCAAATGAAGGCAAGCAAGGTGGTGGTGGGGCTGCCTGTGGGCCAAAGGACTAGACTTTGGCTTCCACCAGGACCCTTTGGCTAATGACGACTGTTCATAGGCAACTGTTCTGTTGCCATGAGGCTGAATGAAGGCAGCAGCTCCCAGGCTCCTCCTGGCTCCCCTGCGGCTGGTATTGTTCCCTTCCCTAAGAAACATAGATGCTTCCTGGCCCATGTCAGCTCCGCTGGGAGTGGACAAATGCTGCATCCATGCACTGGGAGGTGATGAAGCAACATGAGCACTAAGTTGTTAGCCAAAAGTGTCACCCATTTCTCCTTCTTACCACCCAATGCCATTCCTAAATATTGCTTTTTGAGAGTGTGAACATAGGGTATTTGTAGGGAGTAATCCTGCATACCTGTGACCATGCCTGTGTAGGTACTGAGCTTCTGAAAGGGAATTTTGTTCCTCATCTGCACCCTATGGAAACTTGACCACACCCTCCTAGGAACCTTCTCTTTGGTGGTGGTCTTCCTGAGTGGCACGTGCATAGTCTTTACTGTGATCTCAGCCTGCTTCTGCGTACTCCCGTGGATTTTAGGACAGCACTCACTGCCATTCTCATGTGTAGAAGGCAGAGGGGCTAGACATGTCATTGCCTTGCACACAGTTGATAACAGAGCTGGGATCAGAACCTAAGAGGTGTGGCCGGGAAGTCAGGGGCTGACCACTGCACACACGTGGCCTATGCTGTCTTCTTTTGTCAGCTTTATATCCCCAGCCCCCTGGTGAAAAGGAATCAGATGCAGATCAGAGCGGCAGCTTCATTCTGAAGAGTCTGACTCTGGCACCCCCTCAGTAGTTTGTCCACTAATAAAATAGCCTTAATAAGGGCATGTTGACATGTGCCAGGCATTTGCAAAGTATAGAGCATCCTTTGTCTCATTTAATTTTTATTAAATTCAGTGGAGGTAGATACCATTACAGAGTAAAACATGAATAGAAAATGAATGACCTTCATAAAGGTCACTTGGTCAATGAATGGCAAACTCAGTCACCTGATCCCAAAATCTGTGCACCTAACCCTGTTACATCATTCGTTAAGAAAACTCTAGGAAGAAGACAAAGCACAAACTAGGGGCCAATGGGCTCCTGTCACCTCCCCTCCATCATGGTGTGTCTTGCCTCAGAGTGTTTTCCAGGGACTGGCCACAGGCTCACAACAGGCCCTCGGTCCTTCACTTGCTGCAGGTCATCCAGGCTGATGTACTTGCTCAACTCAATCACTTTATCCATCCAGAAGATGTCTGTCATCCCATGGTCTGAGAAAATGATGACATTTAGGTCATCCTGCAGGCCTCGTTCCTGTGGGGTGGGCACAAGAAGTCACCACATTGACTGGATAAATGTCCTTTCATGCAAACATTCTTGTAAAGAGGTGCTTTTAAGCTATTGATTAGAGGAGAATGGAGACCACTAAAGTTGAACCCACCTTTAACCCCCATGTCCAGGGTAAGCTGGTCAATAAACTTACTAATAGTACTAAGAAGCAGCCCAGCTCTCTAGTCAAGCGAGGCAATAATACATATTAGATGAGTTAAATCCCACTGGCTATCCATGGAAAAAGAAGTCTCTTGGCACCCTAAAAAGTACTTTGTGAAGAAAAGATAGCCTCACACTGGCCTAGTAAACAAATTTTTGGAGGAAGTATGAAGGAGTAGCAGTCATGGAGATGACAAGAAATGACTGGAGAAAATGCCAGATCAGCTGCCCTTGCTTTGGGTCACCTGGATCCACTGGATCATATACTTCAGTACAGTGTCCACAGCTTTGAGGGCATCTTTTCGCTGGGGTGACGAGGGGCCATAGTGGTGGCCTTCCACATCAATACGCTCATGGTATATGGCTGCTAGGTCAGCTCGGCCACTCCTGGAGGGAACAGAGTGAGACAGCCACAGTTGAAGGAGACCTCTGGCAGCTTGCTCCCTTATGACCCACCGACCCCTCTGTAAAGGTGTGAGAAGCCCCAGGCAGACCTTCCCAGGAGGCCAGTCAAAACCCACATGTCCACATAAACAAGGTGATACTAGGAGGAGACACCATCATTGTCATCTAGGTGCTCTGTGTCTATGGGTTAACGTTGTTTCCAGACCAATAGGTACAAGTGTTCTCACAAAAGAGCATTACACATGAAGAAGTAGACTTCAGAGGGTTCTAGAAGTTTCCCACTCCCTGGCAGATTTCTGAGACTCAGCTGGAACTTGGAAATGTAAACCGGGCCTTTGAAAGTCCATCCACATCCACTCCATCTTGAAAACTAGGAAAGAGATTCCGGAAAATTCTTTGTTTGGCACCCCTTCTTTCTGGCCCCATACCCTTTAGTGATGCCGATTATTTTCTTCTGAGCTCTCTGGGAGTGCACCTCATTAACAGCTCTGAGGAAACACTGGTTTCAAGTAAAGTGACATCATTCATCAGATATTCTTTTCTCATTTTAGAACAAAACAAATTGACCCTTCATTAGTAAGCCCCATTACTACCCTCCTCCACAGTATGGATTGGGTTATGTTAGTATTTAGATTTCTTTCTCACAAGTGGTATGATCATTATTCTGACTTCCTGGTGTGAGAATGACTCATTCAAACCTCCTGGGCATCTATACATGGTCAGGCACAAAAGGTCCCTCTAGGGCCCGGTGAGTGTGTAGGGGGGTGGGGGAGAAGTCAGTCCTAGGCAGTATGATTTCCATCCATATGCCGAAACTCTCTGACAGTCCATGACTGGGAGGGCTCTGGGCTCTTCCTGCAACACTACATCTGAACACAATGGCAGCTTCCATAAAACCTGTCCTGGAGATAAGCCCCTGCATTTATCTGCTTTATGTACTGGCCTCTTAGGCATTCCAGATGTGCTGTTTCGTGCACTGCATCATCTGTTTAGGTGTCCACACTTCCAGCATGGGCCCTAGATGCGGTGGAAAATCCCACTTAACACATTGGTGACTTAACAATGTGAGGTTTACTGTGGCATTGGAGTTTAATGAAATACACCCAGCTCTCTTCATTTTAATACCCGCTGTACTGCAGCACTGTAGCGCACTGTTGCGTAGGCTGCTTTCTCCAAGGCTGTTTATCACATCTGAAAACCTCCATGTGGTCAGAAAGCTGGACAGTGTCACAATTTACCTGATGGCATTGTATCAGGAAGCTGCCAAGCTTAGATGCCAGGAACACTTGATTTGGGATGCTTGTGTTACAAGGAATGCACACGTGATAGGTTTCTGTGTTAAGGTTTCATTGATTCATTAGGGACTGAAGTCCCTCGGGGCTGACAGTTCTTGCCTGTTTGGCGTTTAGCAGATAAATTCTTGGTAGCCAGCTGTTTCCGATGTGGGTCTGGTCTATATCACAGGTCAGCTCATTTGTTATGGGGTTGGGTGAGGCAAGTTGGATGGAAATGCCTGCATGTCTGTTATTGGCCATTTACAGCTTTGGGGTTCAGGAACCTTGCCAGAAGGACATGTGGCCATCAAATCCAGTTCCCAGAAAGCTGCAGGGGGCTCCAGCCCTAGGGTTTCAGGTACACCCAAGTCTTCTATCACCTTATAATTCTGTCTAGATTGCTTTGCAATATAAAAAGTTCATAATGTCATATGCATTTTTCTTACTGAAGTAGGTTGGGAAGAGAGAAGAACTGGGCAGAGGGAAATGGAAGCAATTTAAAGGTATGGTTAGCTATTGACTGTTAAGAAAGATGATTTAATGTTTTGAAAGAAGGGCCCTGAAATGATAGTGTGTGCCTTCAGCATCATCTTGGAGCACTGTCCAATATGCTTGCTTAAAAGTCACCAGACTTCATTCATGGCTATCTTTCAGAGTTTGCAAACGTAGCGATTAGCTGCCAGAAAACTGACCAAATAAAATCTGAATTTTCTGATGGGGAAAACAACCCTGAAATTGTAGTTTGATTATTCTCAATGTTACTGGCATTTCTGCATATGTCAAAACCCACATCTTATCTCTCTCCAGCTTCCTTTGTTCTTAGCTATGTGTTTCTCATATTCTCCTTCTACCACCTTGTTATTCCCACCCCTGTAGTAGTAAATCGATTTGAACCTTGGCAGAATTCTCATAAATAATGGAGTAGTACTACATGGCAGGTTTAATTGCGAAAACTAGCTTTTGACAGGAGCACAAATATGGTTTCATATCCTGGCTTCTCAATAAAGAAGATGTCTTAGATGAATGGCAAAACTGTCTCTACAGTCCAGTTTCCTTGTCTGGGAAACCCACCTGCAGTGATTTGAATGAGAAATGTCCCCTGTAGTCTCATGCATTTGAACCCATGTTCCCAGCTGATGGCGCTGTCTAGGGAGGTTTAGGTGGTGGGTGGAGGAAGTGTGTCACCCATTTTCAGTCTACTCTCTCTCTCTCTCTCTCTCTCTCTCTCTCTGTATCATGTCAATGGTTGAAATGTGCACTCTTGGCCCTCAGCTTTCTACTTCAGCCACCAAGCCTGCTGCCTGCTGCCTGCTGCCATGCTGGGTCTGCCATTATGGACTCTAACTGTATGGACCCATAAGCCCAAATAAACACTTTCTTCTGTAAGTTGCCTTGGCCATGGTGTTTATTACATAACAGAAAAGTAACTAACGCACTGCCATTTGGATGCTAAATGAGCTGAGTGGACACAGGAAAAAGAAAGAAAGGAAGGGAGGGAGACAGGGAGGGAGTGAGGAAGGGAGTGAAGGAGGGAGGGAGGGGGTTGTGCCTTCATCACTTTGCCTGAGAGTGTACAGGTTTAGCAGGGAGGAGAATTTAATCCCTACTGAGCAGCAGCAGCAGCAGCAGCAGCAAGCTTCTCCATTCTTAGTCGAGAGAGAGAGAGGGAGAGAGAGAGAGAGAGAGAGAGAGACAGAGACAGAGACAGAGAGACAGAGACAGAGAGACAGAGAGACAGAGAGACAGAGAGACCAAGCAGGGACCCAGCCAAGACACTTGACCTGGCTTCCTTTCCCAGGTGGCAGGAATTCTCTTGTCGTTCATCTATTCCTTTGTTAACAACAACTGTGACTGGGGTTCTGAGATTCAGGATTGCCACAGAAGATCCTCTGGAGCTGTATCCAATGGTTCTGAATTCCACAATATCGTTAGCTTGTGTCCACTGTTGGTGCCACCCAGTGGCTTCTTTCTTTGCTTTTCTGTGCTATTTGTTTGTGTGTTGTTGTTCTTTCCAGTTCTCAGCATTGACCTCGGACCTCATTCAGGATGATTGGCAAGTACTTAATCACTAATCGACTTCCAAAACCTTACTTTTTATTTTGGGACAGGGTCTCACTAGGTTTTCCAGATAGGCTTTGAGCTCACTCTGTGGTCCAGACAGGACTTGTACCTGTGAGCCTTCTGTCTCAGCATAGCTGGGATTATGGGCTTGCACTACCAGGCTTGGATTCTCCAGCTTCCTTGACCAGGTTGCATGAGCAATCTGCTTGGTACCATGTTGGTCTCTCTTCTGTTCCTCCACAAACTATTCTTTAAGTCTATCTAGTCTTTAACACCAGATACTTTTTTTTCTCACCGAACCATGAACCACCTGCAAACAGAATTTCCAAAAAGACAAATCAAGTGACATGGACCATGAACTGCTTTGCATTTTGGATGTGGGGGGGCGTGGCATGGTGTGCAGGGGCACTGTCTGCTGTATCCGTATAATGACAGAGCTCAAAAAGCACCAGTGAGCGGGGCCAGATGCCGCTGAATACACAAAGCTGTATTCCTTCTTTCTTAGTTGTTACTATAAATCTTTCTGCCAAAGCTGTCCGAGCCCTACTGCCACGTGGGCAGTCTCTTCCAGCCACCTGAGTTCTGCCTGCTGCGTGGATAGATAAAATAATACAGAGACATATTAGGTACAAAGCTGCTTGGCCAATGACTAGGATTTCTCATCTGTTAGCTCAGTCTTAATTATCATAAATCTATATATTTTATAAGACTTATCTTATAGAGGATGCCTTCCACTGGCAACCTCTCTTGCTGGTGGCTCACATCTGGCCACTCGAGGAGGCGAAGGGGAAAGGAGACACTTCCTGTTTCTCCTTGCTTAAATACGAGTCTCCTTGCTATGTCATTTCCAGCCTGGATCACCACTTCTCTACTACATTTCCCAGAATTCTCTTTGACTCCTAATCCTGCCTAACTTGCTGCCTCATTGGCCAAACAGTATTTTATTTATCACCCAGTAAGATAAACACACAGAAGCACTTCCCCCATCATCTCCTCTTTTCTGTCTAAATAAAAAGAAGGATAACTTATCTTTTATAATAACTGAAGAAAACTATAACCATAACTATCTGTCTTCAACTCTATCAAAGACCACAGAAGGATAATATATGAACTCTAGAATTGATGGGACATCTCGCTACCTGGACAGTCACCCAAAGTTCCTCTATAATGTTGGGGCATCCATCTTCAGCCCATAGGCCACAGTGTGTCTGGAACACTTCTCCATTTCAACAGGAACCCTTCACTTAGTTATGGTAATATTGCTATGAAAAGACACCATGGTCAAGGCAGCTTATAACAGTATTTACTTCGGGGCTTGCTTACAGTTTCAGAGGCTGAGTCTATGATCATCATGGCAGGAAACATGTCAGCAGACAGGCAGTCATGGCACTTGAGCAATAGCTGAGAGTTTCCATCTTATCTACAGGCAGCAGACAGAGGGAGGGAGGAACGGAGGGAGGGAGAGAAGGACCGAGAGAGCTAGAGCGAGAGGGAGAGAGAGAGAGAGAGAGAGAGACAGACAGACAGACAGACAGACAGACAGACAGACAGACAGAGACAGAGAAACAAAGACAGGGAGTGGTGTCTTTTGAAACCCCAAAGCCCACACCCAGTGACATACTCCTACCAACAATGTAATATCTCCTAATCCCTCCCCGAAGCAGTTCATCCACTTGGAGGCCAAATATATGAGCCTATGGGGGCTTTCTTATCCAAAGAACCACACTCCTCCAACCTGCAAAATCCCCAGCCCCAGGATGGCCTCAGAGAGGATGCTTTTCAACTTCCTCTACCTCACTGGTTCTTCAGCCAAGGCACCTTGGAGATGGGAGCATGGACAGGGTTATAGGATTAAGGAGCCTTTTTTTTTTCAGTCACTTCACATATAGGGGAGGCTCTGGAAGCCTGTTCTACCTAGTCCTCCATCAAAAGAGGTGGGTGCTGACTGTCTATCCTAAGAGCTTGTGAGATCAAGAGACAGGAGTTAACCTTCAAGAGTCAGTGATGTTTTTGTATGATGGTGTCATAATTAAAACCTGTCAACTTGACACAGATGGAGACATATCTGTAAGAAGGGAACCTGATTTGAAGAGATCAGATTGGCCTATAGTCACGTCTATAAGCCATTTTCTTGATTGCTAATTGATATTGGAAAGCCCCTGCCGCTATAGATGGTACCATCCCTAGTATGTGGGCTTGGGCTATACAAGAAAGGTAGCTGAGCAAGTGAAAAACATGCCAGTAAGTAATGTTCCTCTGTGGTCTCTGCTTCAGTTCCTGCATCCAGGATGCTATTTGAGTTCCTGCCTAGACCTCTTATGATGATGGATGATAACTGTAGAATAAAACAAACCCTTTCCTCTGCAAGTTGCTTGTAGTCCTGGGGTTTATTATAGCAACAGAAAACCAAACAAGGACAGGTGGGGAGAACACCTATGTAGCATGGTGGATAAAGAGCAAAATAGGTTCATGTAAATAAAGCTCTTGATCCCAATGTATTGATTCTAAAATGACATCTTTCCTTTCATCTCTTTCTGTTTCTATGCAAAAATGTCATCTAAATTCTAAGGTAGCATCTTACAGAGACATGGCAATGCAAGGCAATGTCCAAATCAAACACAAGTGCTGGCTTATTCCTTCCTGTCTGGACATGCAAAACCTCTTGATCTGCCTGGACTCCTGGGTAAGAAATGTCCATGGGTAAGAATGTACAGTCAAGGTCTTAATGATTTCTCTTAAGTTCTGTCATATTTGTCCCCATGTGAACAATACAGACTCAAAAGCAGTGTGTGTGTGTGTGTGTGTGTGTGTGTGTGTGTGTGTGTGTGTGAACACTTGTGTGTGGAAATTTCCAAATACTCCTCAAATTAGAATGAGGAATTTGAGATAGAGAAAACCAAAAGAATCCCAGAGTCTGGACTTGTTGGGCCAGGCAGAGTTATCTGATGGAAAGCTAAATCACTCCACAGCTTTGCCTAAACACCCCTACCACAAGAATCAGATTCTGTGCCATATGAACAAGTTCATGCACAAGCTCCTACATGCAGAGTGATCTTGAGTGCTCTAGATTGTTCTAATCTGGCTAAGACTGTCAACCACTTCATTTCCTGAAGAGGACAGATTTGGTTTCTGTTTGAATAAAAGTATTGACTTACAAACATTAGTCTTTAGTCTGCTTTGTAAGAAGGAAATTAGAGTTGAAAGTGCTTCCTTTTCTTCCTGGGGGAGGACCCAGGTCATCCCCAGTACCTTCCCCAGGCAGTGTCATCTGGCCTTTCCTTTCTCTACTACCTAGCTTAGAGATGATGAGCAGGAGTCCGCATCTCCACTCTTCTTTGTTAGTGCATGAACAGAAGGAACTTGGGTCATGTCAGAAATGATCGTTCTACCTACTGTGTAAAGGGGCTGTTTCTAGCTGCACTTTTAACTTTGGCAATATGAAGACACACTCCCCCAGGACAATTGCATTAGCCTTGTTCAATCCTGCCCAGATCCATACTGTGAAAATCCAGACCCATCTAGATTGCAGACTGTGTGAATGACAGTCCATGGCAGCAGTTCTCAACCTGTCATCATAACCCGTTCAGAGTTCGCATATCAGATATTTTATATTACGAGTCATAACAGTAGCAAAACTACAGTTATGAAGTAGCAATGAAATGATGCTATGGTTGGAGATCACCATACCGTAAGGAACTGTGTTAAAGGGTTGTAGCATTAGGACGGTTGAGCAACATGGATCCATGGAGTTCAAGGCCATGCGCCTAGACTACCTACCATGTGAATGGTATTGAGTTGGGCAGTGTGGAGCACCATACCATACCACATGGACGCCTAGCTTGAGGCCAACTCTATGGACTTGCAGTTCTTTGTGGCCTTTTTTTTTTTTAATTCTTCTCAAGGAGCCCAATCCCTTTACCAAATACAACCACCAGGAACTATAGCAACAATCAGAAAATCTCCCGTTTCCAAGAAGAGATGCATCTCCCAGAGTCCTATTATTTTTGTCACGTTGCTTGACAAAGAAAACAAAAGGCAAAAAACCCCCACAAAGACAATTGTAGTGGCATCTTGCCTTGCCAGTGAACTTGTAGTGGTGGCCACACCCTTTGGGCATGATTTCAGGTGCAGATGTGACCCATTATAAGGTAGGGGAGGGGCTGACTCACACTCCCTTGGGTTGTGGAGAGCATCGGAAGGGCAGAGACCACATCTTCTGGAGCAGGAAGACCGAGGTGGTTTTTGCACTTATCTGTGTAAGTGCTTCCCTAATAAACACCTATCTATCATTTATCTTGGGTCTGGTGGACTCATTTAAACCCCGCCTTCAGACACTACTTCTCTAAAGGAAACAGAGCCCAATTTTGATTCCTTCAGCATTCTGGTGTTGTGAAAATAAGAATGTCTGCTCAAAATGACAAGCACTAGCCTGGGGCTCTCATGGTACTCCTTGATATTCTGCTGTGACCACTGGGTTGGGTACAGGGAGAGTCCATTCAGTTCCAGACACAAGATAAATATGAGAGATATGCAGACTACTTGGAGGTATTTATGAGACAATTATAATCTTATATCTCTCATGGCAGTAGGATATAGGGATGGATAGCTTTGGGGTTTGGAACACATCTGAAGCAGCACCGAGTAGACATAGAGCAATTCTGAAGTCTCAACATTATTCATCTGCCATGCATACTGTGGCAGTCTGCTTTGTGTTAACCAGACAACAACACTATATATCAGCTCTTCATGCTCATGACTCCCCAGCCCCGTGGGCAAGGGGAAAAAAGCAGATGAGGTAGCAGGCATCATCTTATAATATATACAACATATAGAATATATAAACTGTATGAAGAACATTTGCTTAAGTTAACACTGCCCCTTCTAAATGCCTCCAGAATCAAATGGCATGAATAAGTTTCTTTCTTCTTGATGTTTAATATTTTGAAGCCATTTTCTCCATAGCATGTCAATCATGCTAAACCATTCTGTGACCTAAAGACCCCCTTTATAGGTTTCACACAGGTAGAATGGTCTGAAAATCGGCATGGGATTGGGTCCTGTTTTCTCCTTTGATAATCATGTGGGAGTGGCAACCACTCGATCTGAAGTGGGCAGAAAAGGAAGTGAAAGCTTGGCATCTGTCATCAGTCATCTCTGTACTGAAGGAATCTTAAACCATGAGGAAGACCCCATTGCCAAGGAGATTCTTAGGTTACTTGGAGGTGATGTCATCCAGTTGCTCATCTCACAACTGCCTGCAACTCCAGTTGCATGTGACCTAACTCTTCTGCTCTCTGCAAACACCTACATCCATTGTTCCATTGTGTGTGTTTGTGTACACACATACAGTCTCTCTCTCTCTCTCTCTCTCTCTCTCTCTCTCTCTCTCTCTCTCTCTCTGTGAGTGTGTGTGTCTTTAAAAAACAAGGAAGAACAATATTATGGCTAAAAATTTTGGACACTTACTTTAATGAGTCAAGAGCATCGCTGACTGCATTGGCAAAGTTGATATCGGTTGGGACGGTTTTATATTCTAAGCAGTAAGTTGGTCTGACACCAAGAATCTCAACTTCACAGCCTAACAAGAAAAAATATGGAAAATAGTTATTATCTCTAATACTTGAAGTAGGGTTGTGAGCCTATTCCATAAAACAAACACCAGTCACAATATTTTTGTACCTTTTCATAAACTAAAATAATTTATTCCTGGTAGGTAACATATTTAATTATATTTTTTGTTACACTGGAGTAGTTTCTTAAATGCCATTCCAATGTAATACTTGAGTCCCATGACAGAAACTGCCACAAGTTAGACAATAGAAACAAAATAAATATCCATTAGTATACCAAAATATCTCAATTAATTTTATTTCTCTAGATTTTCCATAACTGCCATCTTCTAGTCTGATGTCCCCTTGTGTATTCAAGAGACACTGTTGGAAAGTATCTTGTAGCCAGAGAACTATAAAATAAATATTGCACTATCCTGTGATAAAGGCTAACTAGACTATAGAGTTGTAGCAGCAAGCCAATTTCACTCCGTTAAAGCGATGGTTTTGAGCTGGCCTTCCCTCTCCCAGAATGCAATACAAAAATCAAAATCTGGATGTGAATATGGTCAAGTTTTCTGCCCCAGACTCCTAGACAAGCACAAGTAGTTGTCCTCAGAATATCAGAACACAGAGCAGAAGAGGGGTGAGCCAGTCTTGGTTTACATTTGTTGAGCAAATATTTATTAGCACTCACTATGAGCTAGTGTCTCTGTTCAGGCAGAGGAAACAAAAAATGAATCACTTCTCAAAGCAGTCCAAAGTCTAGTCTTATGGGAAAGAGAAAAACAGTGTGCTGCATGAGGTCTGGTGTGAGGTGCCCACATCTGGGGTGGTGTAGGAACTCTGTAAGGAGTATTAGTTTTCCTCCTTAAAGCCTTGCCTGCCACCCTCTCCCTGACTCAAGTGTTAGAGACATAGCCAAGGCTATGGGTGCTGGAGTAGGAGTGGGGGTAGGGTGGGTACCAAGGCAAAGAAAGCAGAGTGAGCCAGAGTTCAGAGAACTTCTAAACAGTTAAGAGCCATGAAATGCTAGACTAGGGAAATCAGGACACCAGAGTGGCTCTTGCTTACAGCCTGGGGGAAATGACTTCCAAGAAAGTGAGTAAAAGTGGGAGATGTAGAATGTGGGGGAGGAAGACATCTGCCAGGAAAGAGGTTGGCAGTTACTTTTGGGTACATCTGCTGGGTGGCTCCAGCAGATGCAAAAGATAGCAGAACAACTCCTAGGAAGACTCCCTTCATTAGTATACCATCATTTAATTGGAATAGTTTGTGGGAGACCCTGTCTATGTCTGCCTGAGATCATGGGTTCAGGGAGGGTAAGGTTTATCTGAGACAAATGAGAGAGGACCAAGAGGTAGGCAGTTCTCCTTCCCTGGACATGCTTACTAAGGAGATAAATAGGTGGTGTGGCCCAGGAATGAATCTGCTCATGGTTTCTAGAATATTAAAAAATGCAAGGGGAATATTGACTGCTAGTTACCTTGGATACCTATGTTTTGTCTGTCAATAGTTATTTGTAAGTTTTGATTGCAGCATCAAAGCCATTTTGTTCTGTGTATGCACCCTTTGCTTAGGGCCAGAAACTCAGCAGAGGATATCATGCACCCTTTCATAGTTCAGCTGCTATCTGCAGTGCAGCCAGGTTGTCTGCTTTTCACAATTTCAATATTTGGGAATGGGGGGTTTTGAAGTAATGAGATTTTGGTCATTCTCTTACATGAATAAATGGCATAGTTTTTGTTCCTGTAAGGTTAGTACAAACCACAGTTTGGTTTTTTAAACTGTTATATAATCAATAATGAGTATATTTGCTAAAATTATCAAGCATGTGTTCTCTTGACACTTTCATTAAAATTAATCTGGGCTTAACACTGAAGTAGTAATATCTTTCACCCAAAAAAATTAACTCTTGGCCTAGGTTAAAATAGGATACAAGCTAGTTTTTTTTTCTGGTTAATTATATCTAGACTTCTGTAGTAAGTACAGGCAATATGTAGAGAAGTGGAGATATATATTTTTGTCTTAAAAATTATGAAAGGATATCCCAGAGATATTGTAGATTTAGTTCCAGACCATGGTAATAAAGAAAACATCACCATAAGGCAAGATACATGCACTTTTGTCTTTCTTATGCCTATAAAAGTTGCATGTACGTCATACTATAGTTTAATGCAATATAGCATTGTTTGTAAAAGCATGTCTTTTAGTTTAAGACTTTGTATTTCTGAAAATGATCACAATCACATGAAGTTTTAGAACATGGTGCCATTGATTAGCTTCCACAAAAATGAAGTACCTATAAAATATAATAGGATGAAACACACACACACACACACACACACACACACACACACACACACCTGTAATGGATATTTCTTAGTTGAGGACCATGGAAGTAGCATCTTACAAAAGTCTTTGGGAGTGATAGGAGAATACAGATAAATTCCACTGAAGTGCACAGACTCTACACTGAGTGCCCTGCGATTATACATCAGGCAAAACAGAATTCTATAGAATGACAAATGAAAATAGGATTGTGGTATACTTGTACACTACATAAAGATATATTGCTGATTGGTTTAATAAAGAGCTAAATGGCCAATAGCTAAGCAGGAGGTATAAGCAGGACTTCTAGGCAGAGAAAGAGGAAGTAGGAGATGAATCTATGAGCACAAGAGATGCCAGGAGACAATGAAGAAGCAGGAGGGGTGGTATGTGACAGAATATAGATTACTATAAATGGGTTATTTTAAGTTATAAGAGCTAGTTAAAAACAAGCCTAAGCTAAGGCTAAGCTTTCATAAGTAATAGTAAATCTCCATGTTATTGTTTGGGAACTGGCTGATGGGCAGAGAAAGTTTCATTACAGGGATAGGCAATTCTTAGAACAATGATACAACCAGTTCATATATTGTCCCTAGGTGGTATGGGTTAAATGTGAGCTATTCCTCCCTCCGAAGGTTTATGAAATGTTTGGGGAGGTTCTAGAACTTCTAGATGGTGAGGTCTAAAAGAAGGAAGTAGGTCACTGAGGGCAGGTTGTTGGGGTCTCCTTATCCTGCCCCTTCCTATCCATCTACTTTCAGTCACCAGAAGTTGAAATGCTTTTCTGCCATATCTTCTCACCATCACCACGCTGTTCCTGAGAGAATGGGAGCAAGAAGCCATGGACAGAACCCTCATAAACCATAATCCATAGTTTCAGAGCCATAAGCTAATAAATAGCACTAAACTGTGAAATAGTAAAGTATAATTAAGTCCAAGAAAAATCTTACTCATAAGATTTTACATATGAAAGTATTTTATTTAAAATGATGTGTATACTTAAAAATCTTTAAATATGATAAACTAAATCTAAAACTTTGAATTTCAACAAAAACTGGGGAGAGTGCCAGGGAAGGAAGGAAAGTGTTTTGGTTATAATTACAGATGAAGGGAAAGGTTAATTATGATATATCTCATGCTAGACATTGCTCTAAAAGACATGCAAAGGCATGTTGCATAAATAACTACTAAATCGTTGAAAGAAGAAAAATAAAGCATCAAATTTTTAACCAAATATCAAAGTCCATAAGAGTAAAAAAAAAATAAATGAGGAGGGATTCAAGAAGCAATAATGACAAAAAAGAACAAAACTGAGGATTTTGGTTTTAAAGAAAAACATGGAAGGTATGAAGAGCAAGAAGGAGCCATGACTCCACACACACATTTATGTGTTTAGGCTATTGCACGTGTCATGTACATGCACATACAAACATTTTGGTAATGCAAGTACAAGACTTTGACCTTAGTGGAAATTAGTTTGAGATACAATGAATAGTCTGTCATGATGACTCCTATCTGCAATCCTAGTACTTGGAAGACTGAAGCAGTAGGATCGGGAGTTAAATTCATTCTTGGTGATTGGCTATTCAATGTTTGTGGCTAGCCTGAGGTACATGAGGCCCAGTATCAAAGACTTAAACAGTTAGAATGAATAGAAATATATAGAAAATTTGGGTGTTAGTATCAATGCAAGGATCTAAATAAATTTGAATGTGTTTGTCTTATGAGCATAGGATGTGAATTTTTAAACACAACTTTTAGGCAAACTGGGCACATTCTGACCCATAACTAAAATCTCAACAGTTTCTGAAAAGCAGAAAAATTCCAAACATGATGTATACAACCTGACCACAGGAAATAACATTAGGGATTTAATCATAATAGTTAACTAAAAATAAACCTAACCACTTACAAATTTGAGAGAAAACTGTTATGTAAATTGACGCACAGAGGGAGTGAAAACTTCACTGACAGGCTAGTTATTAACAACAGTGAAAATACTATACTCCACGACTTCAAGGGACACATTTTCACTTAGGCCAGAAGAAAATCAAGACTGTTCCCCTCGCTACTGTAATTCATTGCTCTCAACATTCTTTTCATCAAATAAAAAATAGAAGTAAATAAGTTTAGAATTCAGGAGGTATGCCCAAGAGTTTCTATAAGACAGTCTTTACTAAACTTTTTGCTGGGCTGGGAGATGGGCCACACCAAGTGCAAAGACCTGAGTTCACATCTCCAGCACCCACATAACCACCAGACGGTCATGGCAGCCTGCCTTTAATTCAGATAGTCAGAAGTGGAGACAGGAGAGCCCTGGAGTAAGTGGCTAGATTAACTAACCGTATTGAAGAGCTTTAGGGCCAACTGGGAGACACTGCCTCAAAGAAAAAAGTAGAGAGAAACTGAGGAAGACTCCTGATGTCAGCCTCCAGCTTCCAGATACACGCATGCACACATGTGTGAACATGCATACACGTATGCCCATCACACACATACCCTTATAAAAATTTTATTCTATGACATAGTGCAGTAGTATGGAACATTCACAGTAGAAACAAAAGTGTCACCAAACTATGAGAAATGGGCATTAATCTTTTTTTTTCCCTTTGGTTTTTCGAGACAGGGTTTCTTTGTATTGCTTTGGAGCCTGTCCTGGAACTCATTCTGTAGACCAGGCTGGCCTCGAACTCATAGA